GAAGGAAGGAAGGAAGGAAGGAAGGAAGGAAGGAAGGAAGGAATGAATTACACTTTGATAGAACTACAAGTGAGGAACTCTTGTTGCTATGCTGTGTGGCTTTGGGCCAGTGGGTCAGTTTTTGCCACAAGAAGAGGGTACCCAACTCCCAGGCCCAAGGTAGGTCTGGAGGGGGAAGACAGATGTGAAAGTACCTTGTACATCATTCACAAGAAGAAAAAGTCAGGGTTTATTGTTGAGACTTATCAGACTAGGCTACTCCAGAGCTGGAATGTCCCAGGCTTCTGAGGGTGGCATTCTCCAGGCTTGGGACATAGGCCAAGAGAAGAGGCAGCTGGGGCAGCCCTGGAGCAAGCCTCCATGCCCCGGAGGTGCCATGCCGACACTGCATTCTCCACTTCTGATGAGGCCAAGATTCCCCATGGGCCTCAGGTCCTGGGGGATGGAGACCAATCAGGACCACCCAGAGAAGTCTTCCCAAGGCCATGGAGAGGCTGGAGAGGGCTGGGACAGGCATCTGCCCAAAAGCCGGAGCTGGGGATTTTGATGAAGGAATGAGAGTCCTCATCCAACAACAGAGGTCAGCACTAGGTTGCTAACTGGTGGCCTCTGTAGCCCGGGTTCTTTCAAGGCATCATCATTTTAATCATGGACAGGGAAGTCCCCCAGCTCACTGAACATGATCTCTGCCCTTACAATCCGCACACGTGGTTGTGCACACACAATGATGTTACAGCCAGGGGTCCAATGAGCAATGCAGGCAGCCCAGGTCAGGAGAACGAAGAGCTGGGTCAGCCAATGCTGCACATAGGATGGTAGAGCACTGACAGGGAGAGAGAAGGAGACAAGGCATTCCGGTGAGGGGAATCGCGAAGGCCAGAATAGGACAGAAGAGAACAAACCTGCAGAATGTGGAGGAGGGGCTACAACCGAGGAAGATGAGGCAGGATTTGGCTCACACCTGAAGTCACGTGGGTTAACAGTCCACTGCCCCTGTGGTGATGGCAAAAACAGGGTGGGCAAGGGCTTATACCTGGGTGCTCCCCTAAGGGTCCCAAAAGGGAACGTGAAAAATTCTCTCACCCCCACAGGTCTTACTCCAGGCTCAGCTCAGTCACTATCTGCTACAAGTTGGCCCAGTCTCACCACCTCTCCAGATGCCCCAACTACTGCTGCTCTGCCGGTATGGCTGGACTTGCAGAGACCCTCCAGATCTGCTCCAGCCTTCCCCAACCCTGCTTCTCTTCTGAGCTCTCAGCCTCTACGGTCTGAGCCTCCCCTTTCAGCAGCTAATGGTATCCTGCTCACCTCCTCCATAGAGTTTGCACACTCTCCTCTTTTCTGGAGTTATATATTTTTCCTCTTCCTATTTTCCCTTCGCCCTGATTTCTTCAGCACTTTATTATACTGTAGGTGGTTTTAAATTTTTTTGCATGTTGCCTTCAACTCTGTGGATCAAGACAAGTGTGTGTAAACCTTTTTGTTGTACTGTAACTGTTAAGATTTTTTTCCGGTTATCCTCTAAGCTTCCTGGATCCCTGTGTGGCAACTACAGCTCTCATTAGGCATAACATTGTATTGGGCATACAGTAGGTGCCTAATTCTTGCCTACTACAGGCAGTTTGATTAACATCACTTAAGTCACTCCCAGTCATGCTCAATCACTAGCCCATTACATACAAGCCTGGATTATTCAAATCCCAACTCCCCCTACCCTTTTCACTGACACTGTGACCCACCAGCTCTCAGCAGAGCCCAAGTGATTTGATGGCATCATCGCTGCTCCCTGAGCTGCTTGAACATGTCCACACCACCAGAAGGCACCAGACCTGGGTGTCTCAGTAGAAGGAGGAAAGTTACCAGCTACTTCTAAGGCCGGCTTCACACACTCAGCCATAACTCAGGGAGGAGTCGCGGCGTCTCCTCCCTCCTAAAGCCGGCCCAGAGGTCACAGTTCTGGCGTTGTCGAAGCCACAGGCCCAGGGGCGCCAGCAGGCAGCCTTAGGAGAAAGGTTTGCAAGGAGCCGGGCCGTGGGAAGCCGGCTTTCTCCCTGAGCAGCCGCCAGGTGCCGCCCTCGATGGCGTACAGCAGCGTAAACATACGGTTGACCGTATAGACGGTGTCGCCGCGCACCACGGCCGTGAAGAGCGCTCCCTTGCTGTTGACGAACTGGCCGGGCAGCGCCGTCCACTGGCCCGTGGCCAGGTTGAGACAGTCGATGGCGCAGTGCAGGAAGTCGTCGGAAGGTCCGTTGCGCACCACGTAGAGGCTGTCGCGGTGGGCCACCATGCAGTGGCCATAGCTCTGCGGACGCCGCAGGTCGGCCACCGGCAGCCACGCGTCGGTCCGCGCCGCGTACTCCACGACGGCGGTGGTGTCGGCCGGCCGCCACAGGCACACGAAGAGGCGGCCACACGCCTGGGCGCAGGGCACGCCGGCGGCCGGCTGCGGCAGGTCGGCCACAAAGCTCCAACAGCCCGCGGCCGGGTCGTAGCGCTCCACGGAGCTGACGGGCGTCCTCTGGAGCTCGCCGCCGATGGCGTAGAGGCGGCCGTCGAAGCCGGCCAGCGCTGTGTCATAGCGCGGCTGGTGCGGGCTGGGGAACTCGCGCCACGTGCCGCCGTCGGGGTCGTAGCAGAAGCCCAGCTCTACCACCTCCTTGCTGGCGCCGCGCACGCCGCCCACGATGTAAAGCTTGTTGTCCAGCGTGGCCACCCCGGCCAGCAACGTGCTGGCCTCCAGGGGCAGCGCGGCCAACGTGCGCCACGCGTCCTCTTCCTCGTCCAGGTAGCACAGCGTGCGCGACGCATCCTCCAGGAAACCGGGCGCGGGCGTGTGCGTGCTCACGGCCACGTAGCTACTGGGCCGCAGGGCCGCCACGTAGGAGCGGGCCTCGGGCAGCGCCAGCTCAGCTGCCAGCTCGCACTCGCCGTCGCGGATGAAGAGCGCGGCACTGTGGAACACGTCGCGCAGGCCGAAGGCGGCAGCCGCGTCGCACAGCAATGCGCAGTTGTCCGACGTGAGGTTGTGCTCGAGAAAGCGCGCTAGCGCCGGCGCCTGCAGGAAGGCGGCGCATTCCACGGCCTGCAGCAGCTCGTCCTCCGCTGCCAGCGCCGGCCGCTCGCCGCGCAGCACCTGCAGCGTGACGCGGAAACCGCCCGCGCTCAGAACGCCCAGGCGCACCTCTGCCGCGCGCGCCTCCCGCATGCCGGAGCGGAAGAGGCCGCGGAAGAAACCGCAGTGCTCAACGAGCAGGGCGCGGTCGGCTTGGAAGAGCTGGCCGCCCACCCATACCTGCACAGGGGTTTCCGGGCCCCGTGGCATGGCGAGCCAGCGGGGCAGAGGCCGCCACTGGGGACTTGGGTTCGCCCGCCACAGACTGTGGGGCTCCCTCGGAGCAAAAACTTCCCTAGGGGCTATAAATATCTCTCCCTGGCTAAAGATAGTACGGCTCATGTGATGTGGTGGCCCGCAGGCTGTATGGCTGCGGGCCCGGAGGGCATCTGGAGACCTGTGTGGTCATTCATTTCCTTAGAAGAAATGGTAATAATAGTGACCATATGCCGTGCACCTGCAGCATGCCGGCACACTGAGGGCTGCTAGGGAGATACCCATTTCTCCTGCATCTTTCCAGCTGTGTGCCCTCGTGCGAGTGTCCTAACTGTTCCTCACGTTACAAATGGGGCCAGTAGGCCAGAAACAGTGGCTCACGCCTGTTATCCTAGCACTTGGGGAGGCCTTGAAGGGTGGATCACCTGAGGTCAGGAGTTCGAGACCAGCCTGGCCAACATGGGGGAACCCCGTCTCTATTAAAAATACGAAAAAAAAAAAATTAGCCGGGCGTGGTGACACGTACCTGTAATACCAGCTACTTGGGCTGAGGCACGAGAATAGCTTGAACTCGGGCGGCTGAAGTTGCAGTGAGCTGAGCTCGTGTTATTGCACTCCAGCCTGGGCAACAGAGTGAGGCTCTGCCTCAAAAAAAAAAATTAAAAAATTAAATGGGGCCAATAACAACACCTATTTCACAGTCTTGGGACAACATCTGAAATATCCCGGTTGAGGGTGAGAGAGTTTAGGTAGCTTGTCCGGGGTCATTCAGCTAGGAAGTCGCTGAGACAGAATGAATACCCATCTCACCGCTTAAGCTCAGAGGAGTGGGACAGGCAAGTTGGAGAACAAGGCATAAATGGAGCAAATACGTTGGGCCAGACTGGGGTCCAGGACCAGGGTTTTAATTTGGCTTGGGCTTCTGACCCTGACTCTAAGCCAGTCCAATCTCTTTTTGAGTCTCAATTTTCTTCTCTGAAAAATGGAAAAGGTAGCAACCCTGCTTTGCAGATGAGCATCCCATAAAGCCCCTGAGTTAGGATGGGAATGGGAATTCCACACTTGCTGCGATGCTCCAGATCCTGGGAAAAGGAGTTGGGGCTGCCTAGGGGATCATAGGCCTGTGGATGGGAAGAAGGGCTTCCTAAAATAATAGCTAACACTTTAATTGCATTATGTGTCAGGCACTATTGTAAGCACTTTATATTAACTCCTTGCAACAATCCTAGGAGTAGATACTATTATTTCTCCCCCCATGGATATTATTCATTTATTGCTTATAGCAACACTATGAATTAGAAATTAATGGCCTTATTTCATATATGAAGAGACTGAAGTGCCGAGAGGTTTAGTCACATGGCCAGAGAGTGGCACACCTAGGCCTGGAATGCAGCCAACCTGATTCTAAAGCAGGGGTCCCCAACCCTGGGGCCACGGACCTTAGGAACCAGGCTGTGCAGCTGGAGGTGAGAAGTGAAGCATCATCTGTATTTACAGCCGCTCCCCATCCTCTTTACTGCCTGAGCACTGCCTCCTGTCAGATCAGTGGCAGCAGCATTCGATTCTCGTTGGAGGGTGAATCCTATTGTGAACTGCGTGTGGGAGGGATCTAGGTTGCCTGCTCCATATGAGAATCTAATGCCTGATGATCTGTCACTGTCTCCCATCACCTCCAGATGGGACTGTTTAGTTGCAGGAGAACAAGCTCAGAGCACCCATTGATTCTACATTATGGCAAGTTGTGTAAGTATTCATTATATAAATAATAATAGAAATAAAGTGCACAATAAATGTAATACGCTTGAATCATTCTGAAACCATCTCCCCTCCGCCGTCTGTGGAAAAACTATCTTTTATGAAACCAATCCCTGGCGCCAAAAAGGTTGGGGGCCGCTAGAGGGTATGGCTATACCACTGTATTTTTGTTGGTGGTGGGTTTTTTTTGTTTGGTTCGTTGGTTTGGGGGTTTTTTTTTGTAGACGGAGTCTCACTCTGTCACCCAGGCTCGTGTGATCTGCCTCTTGCGTTCAAACGATTCTCCTGCCTCAGCCTCCAGAGTAGATGGGATTACAGGCATGCACTACCGCGCCTGGTTAATTTTTGTATTTTTAGTAGAGACAGGGTTTCACCTTGTTGGCCAAGCTGGTCTTGAACTCTTGACCTCAAGTGATCCACTTACCTCGGCCTCCCAAAGTGCTGGGCCATACCACTGTGCTGTGATGCCTCTCTGTGCTACAAATGCTGGGCAGTCGCCTTGTGTCAGGAGGGCATAGTTGGAAGGCACCTCAGGCTCATATGGTTCAATCCTTTCACTTACAGTGGAGGGAGGTGTGCTCAGGGTCTTGTAGCTTGAGGCAGACAGCCCCAGGCCTCCTGCTGCCCATTCCATGGCACTTTTCCCACTACACAGAACTTTTCTGGGTGACCAGCTAAAACTATGGGTCCCAAAATGGAGCTTGGGATGGAATGGAGCTTAATAATTATCTCCTCCTGCTACCTTATTCTAAGGTGAGGAAACTGAGGCCCAGACATATGTAAAATGGTATCTGCCATTCAGATGTGCAGCTGTCCCATCCTTACCTGCAGGCCTTTTTAGGGAGGATGAGGGGCTTGCAATGATCAAGTAGAAGGTGGGAAGAGGCAGGGGAACTTCTCTCCCCCTTAGGATATATATGCATAGATCCTCACGTATGAATCTGCAGAACCAACACGAATGTGCCTCCCCTGCTAGGGAACTCTCATCCAGTTCACTCCATCAAAGCAGTGATGGGATGTGGGGACCACTTGTGTGAGCCTGGGAAGCCAGAGGCCTGGAGGAGGCAGCCAGAAATATCTCTGACTCTCTACCCCAGGGACCAGACAGGAAGAGGAGGAGGAGATGGGAGGATGGGTGGGCAGGAGTCCCCACGAATACTATCCCAGGCCCTCTGCCAGCTTCTCTCTTTCCCCGAGGCCAGATATTGGCTGAATGGCCTGGAATGTCCAGGCAGCAGGCATGACAGTCCCAATCTTGGGGACCAGTGGGCTCTCAGTGCTGGGTCTTGACGGTGTCCTTGCTGGTGGCCTTAGTGGTAGGGAAAGGGTGTCTGACTGTTCCCGTTTCACAGATGAGGAAAGAAAGGCTTAGAAATGAGCTGGGCTTTTCCTTGGTTATGAATGGGGATGTGGGCCTGAATCAAACCATGCCCACTGACCCCAGCTGCCACTCTTCACCTGCACTAGCCTTGCCTCAGGGCAGGGAAACAGTTGCCTTCTCCTGGGGACAGGACTGGAGAAGGGCTGACTCCCAGGGGGCTGGGGCTGCTGCATAGTCCTGGGACCACAGTTCCCTCCCAAATGGTCTGTTCCAGACACCTAGTAACTGGCAGACACAACCAGATGGAACCATTGCCTGGCCCTCTCCTGAGAGCAGGAAGAGGAGGGAACGCAAACCCCTCTTGGCTGAAGTTTGCTCTTGGCTTGATGTTTTCCAAGTCTAGCCCTGCCTTGAGTGGGCTGGGGCTTGGGCACACACCCAGTTTCCACCTCCAGCAGCCAGGCAGTGGGGAGAGGGTCATCCAAGGTGGTGGGTCATGTTTTCCTGAGGCTGGGCTGAGGATCAGCCCTTTGGTCCCGCCCCCAAGGCCCCAGTGGGGTGTTGCCTGCAGCTGGGGAGAGTTTCCTCCTCCTGGACACTGAGTGTCCCTCTGGGATTTGGAGAGGACAAGGAACTATCCCGGCTGTGGGCAGCCCACAGAGTTCCCAGGCCCTGCTCGACCCCACACCAACCTCCCTCTCCACTCTGCATCCCCCACACTGTGTGAGGTTGGGGATGGGGGCAAAGAAAGGAGAAAGGAACCTGCCTCAGACTCTGAGCCTTTCTAGAGCGCAGACCCAGTGTTGTTCATCCCTGTGTTCACAGTGATTGGCACACAGTAGGCGTCTGTTAAGTAGATTCTCTGGGGCGCTAACCTGTGGAAGTCTCCGGTCTGATAGAAAAGATATAACCCTTACCCTGGGAGACACCCCCACTCTTTGAAGTCTGATGGGAATGCCCTGGCCCTTCCCACTCATGCACATAGGTGTTTCCGCACATAGAGTAGTGAGTGGCTTGTACTGCCTGGACCTGGAGGAGGAAGAGCACTGGACTGGGAGTCAGGATTCCTGCCTGGGCTCTGATACCGGTGCCACCACTGACTTACAAAAGCTACCCAAACTCTTCAGGCTACAATGCTTCATCTGTAAAGTGGAATTTGAATCTGCCTTTTGTTCAGCTTTGACATCTGAATTTATCATTCAACAACCACAAAAGTGGTTGTCATGTTGTGCCTCCAGAAGAGGCAACCACATCACAAAAGGGGACCAAAAGCTTAGCTTTATATGAAAGGGCTCCTGGGGGTTGGGTGGCAAGGGTAGGTCCTGCCATCAGAAAAACCTCACAGGCCCTACATGTCTGGACCTATATTTGCTCCAGTCGTTCACTACAGAGATATCTATTGAGCACCTGCTGTATGCCCACTGCTGGGCTTGGTGCCACATCCTCTAGACTTTGAGTGCCTGGGGGCCTCCTATGAGACCCTTGATGGGGGTTGGTGGTAGAGGGTAAGGAGAGTTGGGTTACTTGCCCTAGCAGAATAACCTCTCTCTTGATCTGAAGTGTACAAACTTCTGGTCACTAAATGGTTGTGACTTCTTTGTAGGTGGATGAGAAATGTGTGCTATTTATATCCAGAGGAGTAGACGGAACTAACCTCTACTTTCTTGGGACATGGGCCAAGCTCTGGATAGGACACATGTTATCTAATATACTTCTTGATATTGTCCCTGCTTTATTTTATTTTGAGACAAGGTCTCACTCTGTCACCCAGGCAGGAGTGCGGTGGCACAAATACAGGCTTACTGCAGCCTCTGCCTCCTGGGCTAAAGCTATCTTCCCACCTTGGCCTCTGATGTAGCTGGGACTATGGGTGCACGCCAACATGCCCAGCTAATTTTTTATATGTTTTTGTAGAGACAGGGTTTCACCATGTTGCCCAGGCTTGTCCCTATTTTAAAGATGAGGAACTGAGGCCCGGAAGGGCAAAGTAGCTTATTCCAGGGTCTGACAGTAGCAGCCCCTAGCTGAGGAAACTGGGGATGGAGAAAGGGATGGGTCACAGCCATGAGGTGGGCACTGTTTTCCTCCTAAGCCTCAGAGGAGGGGCAGACTTTGAGAAATGAGCTGTAACAGCTGAGGGCCCCAGTAACCAGCTGGCCACCAGCCTAAATAATCTCTGAACTGGAAGAGAAATAAGGGTCATCTTACTGCATCATGCAAGTCACAAAGGAGTCTCCTCTACGACACTTCCTTGCAGTGGTCACCCCCTTGGTTGCTGCCAGTGTCAGGGGAGAGGGGTTCAGTTCCACCAGAGACACTCCCTTCTAACTATGGACAGTCAGATGGTTACAGAGTTCACCCTCAGACTGAGCTAGAATCTTGCAGCTCCCATCTCCTGGTTGGTCAAGTTTTAAAGATGAGGAAACTGAGACCGGATAGAGGCCAAGTAACATCCCAGCATCACACAAGCTGGGAAGTAGCAGAGCTTAGGTTTACATGCAGCTGGGCCCGTGCAGGACCACAGCTAGCCCTGTCTCCAGCAGTCTTCCATTGAGATTGATTCTATCCCCACAGGCCCCATCTGGAACCAGTCTGTCTTCACAGGACGGGGCCAGCCCAGGGATGTGACTGGAACTTGGATCCCACTTTCTCAACTCCTACAACTCAAAGGAAAACCCTTGCCATTAGCTGTGTGACTAATTCTGGCCTGACAGTGTAACCTAAACAAATTCCACCCGATACCTTAATAACACAGCTGGTTTACCATGATTTCCCCAAAACACAACTAGGCTGAGTCAATATTCATGTCCTGGCCAGGAAAATAATTGTTCTTCATTGAAGAGTCGTTATTACCGTCCAACTCTGACCCTGGGCCCTGCCTGCACACCTGGTTTTCCATGGTTCTTCTGTGGGTGGGTGGGTAGATGAGTTAACCATCTGGGGGAAGGGGAAGGAGAAGGGCTGCCGTGAGAGGTCTCTGAGGCCCCCGTGCCTTTCCCCACTCTAACCTGGTGTGTACTCCAGAAGAGATGCCTCACAGGGTTCTAGAATGTATGCAGGCCTGGAGCCCAGGGCTGATTCTGTCACTCTCTATTTTGCCTCATTTTCCCCTTCCTTTAGTGTTTATAGATGGGGACACCAAAGCCCAAAGAAGCAAGGTGACTCGCCCAAGATCACTCTAGGGAAGGAGCTAGCACTAGATCCTAAGTGTACAGGTTTGTGGTGTGGGCCATTTGTCCTGTCTTTGGTATGACCAGATTTAACCTGAGTCCCAAGGGGAATGACCAGGTGACCCATGCCAGGCTCACCACCAATCCCAGAATTGCTGTAGGCAAGAGGCAGTGCCAGGTTTTAGAACAAACACCCCATTTACACAACAGGCCACAAACACATGCAACTCATTAGCTCCCATTAGGGAGAGACAGTAATTCAGAATGGATTAGGTTTCTTGAAGCTGAACCCATACTGGCCCTGAAATGTTAGTAAGGGGTTTCTCTCCGCCCCACCGCCTCTCCCAGAAGCCTGGATTCTGAATGGGTTCTGCAGTGAGGCCTCTGGAGTCTTCACAGGAAAGGGCAGAATAATGTGATTGGGAATATAGAGTGCCAAGGCTGAGCTAAAGAAAGGGCAAGGCTTGGAATTGAACCCGGGAAGCTTCCTGGAGGAGGAGGCGGGGCTGGCTTGGTAGAACAAAGGGAGGGGTGGATTTTCTTGCTGGTGAAAAGAGATTGAGTGGGAGGTTCAGGGAAGAGTGCAAACATCCTTTCCCTCTCTCCCCCTAACCCTGAGGCTCCCTCTCTCTGCTCCTTCCCAGCCGGGTCCGGGGACACTCAGGAGGGTGACGGGCCAGGTCCTCGAGGCCCAGCCCGGCGGT